CTCCAGCAGATTGACTCTCCCTCCAAACTTGGTGTCATCTGCAAATTTGCTGATGGTGAACTCAATCCCCTCATCCAGATCATCAATAAAGATATTAAATAGGGCTGGGCCCAACACTGATCTGTGGGGGACACCACCAGTGACCGGCTGCCAACTGGATGCAGCACTGTTCAGCACCACTCTCTGGGCCCAGCCCTCCAGCCAGTTCTCAACCCAGCACAGAGTGCCCCGTCCAAGCTGTGGGCTTCCAGCTTTTTCAGGAGTATACAACTAAGAAATGAAAAAAAAGTATATAAATGAAGCTCCTCAGGGAGCAGAAATTGTTAAAGAAACATAAAAGTGAAATTTTACAAAAACAGTGACTTGTCTGCTGGTTTTGTCACAGGTTCTCATTATTAATATCTCACCAATGATACACAGTCTATAGACATAGAGTTAATAAACGTGAAAGATATCATACCAGAGAGGCTTCACTGGAACTATAGAAGAAGTTGCACAGTACAAAGAGAATTTTTCAGGTCTTGTTCATTTCAATTAACATTTGGATAAACAGAATGTTTTGGTTTGGGGTGGCGAAGTTTGTTTTTCTGGGTTCTTTTATGTGTTTTTGAATTTTTTCCCCCTAATTCTCCTCTATTAGAAAACAGGTAATACCAACAAAAGCAGAATCAGTGTTGGTCTTGATAGGAAAAGAGTGATATATGTAACAATAAAGTCTTAGAAGAAACCTGAAAATTCTTTTAGTATTACTTTTTTAATAGGAGTAACACCTTGGGAATAAGTTATTCACTAAGAGGATTGATGTTCAGATATATACTATGTGAACCCTAGAAATCTTTTCAAAATTGTTTTGTCCCTGTAAAAAGCCGCAAGTGAGTGCAGATAGGCTCCCAATAAGAATTGATTTATGATCCTTTGTCCGTGAAACTGCTATAGACATAAATTCCTACAATGCAACCCTTTGCTATCACCCAGATAAAGCAAAATACCCATAGCAGAAGTTATAGCAATTTTTTTGTGCTTTCCCACCCCTAACTAAAATATATTTATTCCTAACAGGAGTAAGTTTGCAAGGTTTTTGATGTTGTTGCTGGGTTTTGCTATGGAAAAGCAATGATGGGGGTTTTTTCCCAGTGACTATATTTTGAGGTTAACATAAAGTCATATTTGAGTTGGAAAAGGGGTGAACTTGTCACAAGCAAATCTGGTTTCTTAATCTTTGCTGCCAAAATCTTTCACTAGAAAAGCTTCAGTTTGTTTTCTAAAATTATATTTATTCCACCTCCTCAAACTCCTACTCACTAACCCTTACTCCTGGGGTGTAATGAAATTAATCATTGTTAGAAAGTAGGGGAAAGCACAGCAAAATGGCACTAACCTTGATGAAGAAAAATCATATGGTGTGCACAGACAGTGCTTAGCTTGATTGAAGATTACACAATAAACCCTTTTGCCCTCTAGTTTTAAAGTTGCTGTTTTGATGTCAGCGTAGTGTCTGCTTTCTGGAAAGCATAAAGCAGAGGTTTTTTATTACTTTGGCTTTACTGGAGTTGCTATTAGGGCCTATCATTCTGTGGAACGTAAATTGCATGTGTGGCTGCAGAATAATAAAATTACTTTCATTCATTAGATTATAAATCTCTGAGAAGAAAGAGCACTGATATTTTCTAGCAACTGCAATTCAGATAATGCTTAGTTCTTACTTGTCCCATAGTACAACTTTAGCTTGAGGCTTAATTTCTACTCGGAGTAGTGCTCTCAGGTGGTTGCACAAAATATAAAAAGTAAGAATTTCTTATCCTTCAATATACATGACCAGTAACTCTCCTGAGAGGAAGCATAGTGGGAAGAGAGAATTCTATTTAGCAGAAATTACTGGGGCAGAGAAGTATGAAAAATAAATAACACTTACGATAAATTTGATTTACTGAGGTACTTAGTGTACAAAACTGTGTGAACAGTCAAAGCACTTAGGGTGTCCGTCTTCAGGAAGTCCATGAAGATGAACCTTAAAATTCAGAGTGAAGAGTAGTGTATCTACTTTATCAGTTTAAACTGAAAATATTTGTATACTGTTAAGCAGGTCATAATCATAGTTCATAAGAGATGAAGCAGACTTTTTTTTTATATTTGGGAGATTTTAAAGTGACTCCGTGTGCCTAAATATGCATAAATTACCTAAAACGAGGAGACTATATAGTCATCCAACCATGCTTTATTTTTCCTCTCCCCCTATCCCGAGTACCAGGAGCAGTTATACCTGTGCTTCCATTAATGTCTTGACCTGTGGACTGCATGATACACCTTATCTCTTGACTACTCCGAATGCTAAAAATTCCATTACTTTAGAAAACAACTAAACAAATTCATAAAAGAGAAGTTTCATATTTTCTGTTTTAATAAGAGCTGTTAAATACAACATCTTTTCGTCAAGTTTTTCAAATAACTGAAGATTTGCAGAGTTATTTAGAAATTATTACCATATAAGCAGTATGCCCATATAAGCTGTTATAATTGATGCCTATGGATTTTTTTGATTTTTAGCTTTTGTAGATTTTAGAAGTAGCTCACCCTTTAGCACAGTAGTTTACACATTTACCCAAACCCTTTTCCCCATTTGATATCAAACCTTCTAAATGCCTTTAGTTTGTTTAGACTTCCCTCAAGGTAGGACTTCTTTCTGTTTAAGAACATGGCACCCCAGGCCTCTACAACAAGGTACCATGACAGACAAAGCATCCTTCAAACCCAGAGCCTTAGACAAGCTCCAAGGACTGGATGTGCTGTGACAAAGAGGAAGATAAGAAAGAGGGGGTCTTAGGACCCCTGACTCAGTTCCCAGAGAGGTATACCAGTGGGAGGATCTGGGGGGCAGATAGATTTGGGATTGGATGGACAAATACCTTGAATTTTGGAATCCCCTGGACACATGGCCCATGTCTCTGTAACCTCATGGTGGAAGACCTTCTGTTAAAGCTACTCTCTACTTTATGTCTACTAATGATTGCCTGGTGAGTCTATTTTTTGGATCCCAAGTGCGATCTTAAGGCAAGATAATACAGGGCAAATATCTTACTGTATTGAAGCAGAATATTGAAATAATTAATGCTGAAAACAGTCTACTTCATCCTAGAAAGAATGGAAGATATGAAGGAATTATGATTCACAAATTGACTACACTCATTCTCCTTTAGCTCTGAAAAAGCTGGCAGCCCCTAGCTTGGACAGGGGCACTCTGTGCTGGGTTAAGAACTGGCTGGAGGGCCGGGCCCAGAGAGTGGTGCTGAACAGTGCTGCATCCAGTTGGCGGCAGGTCACTAGTGGTGTCCCCCAGGGATTAGTGCTGTTTCATATCTTTATTGATGACCTGGATGAGGGGATTGAGTTCACCATCAGCAAATTTGCAGATGACACCAACTTCAGAGGGAATGTCAATCTGCTGGAGGGTAGGAGGGCTCTACAGAGGGACCTAGACAGGCTGGATAGATGGGCCAAATCCAATGGTATGATGTTTAACAAGACCAAGGGTCAGGTCCTGCACTTTAGCCACAACAACCCCATGCAGCGCTACAGGCTGGGGACAGAGTGGCTGGAGAGCAACCAGGTGGAGAGAGACCTGGGGGTTCTAATCAACAGGAAGCTGAACATGAGTCAGCAGTGTGCCCAGGTGGCCAAGAAGGCCAATGGCATCCTGGCCTGGATCAGGAACAGTGTGGCCAGCAGGACCAGGGAAGTGATTCTGCCCTCGGCACTGGTGAGGCCACACCTTGAGTCCTGTGTCCAGTTCTGGGCCTCTCAGTTCAGGAACGATATTGAGGTGCTGAAGAGTGTCCAAAGAATGGCAGTGAGGCTGGCAAAGGTACTGGAGCACAAGTCCTATGAGGAGAGGCTGAGGGAATTGGGGTTGTTCAGCCGGGAGGAGGCTCAGGGGAGACCTCATCACTCTCTACAACTCCCTGAAAGGAGGTTGTAGCCAGGTGGGGGACAGTCTCTTCTCCTAGGCAACCAGCAGTAGGAGAAGAGGGCACAGTCTTAAGCTGAGCCAGGGAAGGGACATTAGGAAGAAGTTCTTTACAGAGAGAGTGACTGAGCACTAGAATGGGCTACCCAGGGAGGTGGTGGAGTCACCATTCCAGGAGGTATTTAAGAAGAGACTGGATGTGGCACTTAGTGCCATGGTCTAGTTGACAGGATAATGTTAGGTCAAAGGTTGGACTTGATGATCTCAGAGGTCTTTTCCAACCTAGTTGATTCTGTGATTCTGTGATTTTAATTTAGTGTACAGTTGTTGCAGAGTTCAAATCAATCAGACAAACTGTAACTGTTTTAAATTCAAGAACAGTATACGATATTTTCCTTCACCATAAAACTTCATGGAATCAGATGAAGATAACTAATTAACTTTAATCTCATTACTTCCTTGATTATTTTCACAAATTATTTACATGAGGCTCACTAGAAAAGTGGCCCATTGATGGGCTTGAAGATGATGGGCCTCAAGAATCTGTTGGAAGTACCTCTCTATAGACAGTTTAATGTGTTATGTTTAATGTTATTTTGAAAACCCAATGAGATCAAAAAAGATCTTAAAAGATCCCACATCTGGTGTGATGTGGGAAATTAGCATTTTTGTGTCTTCTTATAATGGACAACAAAGGCATGAAGAATTCTGGATTGCAGCATGTAACAGCAGCTACCTTGGCCTTTGCTCAAACCAAAAGAAATGTCTGTGACTTTAACCATGGTGGGAATGACAGCTGCTTTGTACTGTCAAAATATGGGGACAAGCCTTTATGAAAAAGCTCCTACTTTCAGGGAAAATATGCATGGCAGAATCTGAGGAGGGAAAAAAATACCCACAACAATGGAATTGGTATGACAAAGCTACATAGGTTCTCTTACTTGGATAGTAGTTTATCTGAGGTTTTCTGATCCTGCTTGCAAGTATGTGAAGGCACTATCCAAAGGAAACATGGTGGAATTTCCGGTGTGTCTGCCATTTGAGATGCCTTCTCAGCACTGAGAGCATGACCATTTGTTATGTTGCATTGCTACTGGTGCTAAAATTTAGGGGTTTGATACAACCTTTAAATTCACAGTAATTTGTTGTATAAGCTAACTGTAGTTGCTATGGAATCCCAATGAAGAGAAACATTGCTGATATTTTTTGCTCCTGTCAGCTGCTTGTTTCTCTGTTTAACTCAAGCTTGATTTTTTCCATATCCTTTGATGGAGGGGAACGACCACTAAAAAATAATTCTCCTTGTGATGTTATCAAGCTTATTATGCAGCACTTTTTGACTTGATTTTCCAGAGAAAGTTCTGACCTGAAATAGGAAAAAGAACATATAAAATAAGTCAAATAATTTTAGGGTTTTTTAAATGCTAACATTGGCTAAATATACATCCTCTTTCACTAGCGATGTAATTATGGTAAAATAAAAATTAAAGCAACTGGTATCCATTTTTTGGTGAAGAAGAAATAGTATTTACTGGGGGAAATATTACTTAAATGTAGTAATTTATTTCTTTGTCTTTGGATTTGCTAATACTTCCACTTATTTAGTGTAAAGAATTTGGGCCATGCGGGATGTATAATTTGATAAGCAGTTTTCACTGACTGTTGTGGGAACTCTTCTTTTTGACTGCTGTAGTAGTATTTGTCTTAGCCAATGATAATGGGCACTATTATATATTTTAAACGTTATATTACGTCACAACGTCTTGTGTAGTGTAATCTTCAGAGGAATCATTGATTCATATGTCACATAGTCATCTATTATTTAATTAATTCTTTAAAATTAAGTATAATTTAAAAATAATGGTGGCTTATACACTACAGCAATAAAGAATAAAATGGCAAGGATATTTTTCTGTATCTGTAAGAAAGTCTTTGCTCCCATAAAAATGAAAGCACACTATAAGGTTTTTTTCTCTTTCTACTATTTCATGGCCTGCCAAAGACTTAAGGAAACCCCTTACTAAAAAATCTCCATCATAAAAATTAAATTCTTTCACTTGACCGGACATCAATATGTCAAGCCCAAACCAAAGTGCAGCCAGGCAAATACCTTCACTTTTTTGGTCTTTGATAACGTTTAAGTCCAACTCACTGTCTTGCTTCTGATGCAATGAAAATAGAACACTTTTAATATAAAGTTTCTAAAACAATTGATAAATGATTTTTTTACTCACAAGGAAGGAAACAAGGGTTATATTTTTAGTCTTTAGTCACGGGAGAATGGACTTGTGTGTTTTGGGTTTTTTTCATTTAAACTGACTTGCATTATTGGCAATAAAGCTGCTTTTTCTTTTAAAGTGTTTACAAAATTGCTCTTCTGAAGGCTTTAATCTCTTAATCCAATTTCCAAATTTTCTCAGTAGGCTCCAAGCCACCAACGAAAACAAATTGTTGCTCTTGCTGCAGTCAGTCCACTTTCACTGTGATTTGATTATAAATTTTTCAGTGTTAGTATTGTCTAAATATTTCCCTAATTTTGTTCCCTCAAGGGGAGACTCAGTCTAATGACTTTATGCTGCGGGGAATTTAGTCCCATGCACTTACAGTTTAATGCTTTTGTTGTTATACAGGTAATTCCCTTTTCAGAGACAAGAGAACTTTCTCTGTCATGAAAACTTGAATCAAATTCAAGTTATTCAGTATTTTCCTTTATTTAGAAGTGAGGAGTAGGAGTCCATGTATTAAAAACACTGACACATTTTGATTTATTTTTCCAGTTTACCAACAGTTAGGCTTATTCAGTGTTGTTTGGTTAATGTTCCCAAATGTTAATTGATTGATGCATTAACAAGTGATTAACTGCTTACTGAAACATTTTTAGTTGGTTTTGGCTGTATATTTTGTTCTTCATTGGAACTGTCTACTAATTTCAGGATCTACCTACCTATTTTTCAACATGGATACATCTCCTGATGAAATAATCTTTTCTTCCCTGTTCTCACATTTAAGGTTCTGTTTTCCTCTGGTTTCTTCATCTATGCTACTCCTGAAAGACAGGGAAATCTCTTTGCAGTTATATAAAGCATCTGTGACCCAAAGAGGGTATATGTTTTTGTCTGCAATTTTCTTCAGTATTTCTTACTGTCTATCTTTAAATCCCACTTGGAAATGACTTACTCACAGGCGAGGTGCCCAAGACGGAAGTTTACGGTTCCAGTTTAGCGACTAGTGTACTAAAAATATAAGCTCTTAAGTGCTAAAATGCTGTAATAACATGTTCTTAATACATTTATTGCTTCTCACCTCCATTGACTTGTAGAAAGAATCTTTTTCCTCCATGCTTTTTTCTTAATTCCCTCACAGCCCAGTCATGGGTAACATATAGACCCTACTTTTTAATACAGAATCTCCTACCTATTTAAACATTAATACTGGCAGAAGCACCACCGTAAAGGGTGTGTGTCAGGACTTTATCTATCTAGGTTTTTAGGAAGGTGGTAACATGTAAGAAAGTGACAGTTTATATCAGGAATAAAAGTCTGTACATTCACCAATTTTAATTGTAATCTTCACTGATCTTTCATGTTGCCTGTGAGACTTTCTGCAATTCTTTTTTCTTTCAGCTACTGGGACAGTGCAATGAACTGCAATACTAGATGGTCCTGGAGAATTCAGCACAGAGAAAGACATTAGTCAAGCAGGCCAGCAGATTCTCAACTTCCAAAAATTATTAGATCATTGAGAATTTCCTGTGCAAATATTGAATATTAAGAAACCATTTGGGCAGCTGCATGTTGACTACTTTTTATAATATATACAAATAATATTACTTTATTGAAGATAGATTGATACTATGTCCTTTCCCATTGAATTTGACTTTTTGTATTGTTGCTTTAGGAATTATTCTTTTTATTCATAGGTAGCTAATTGTGTTATAGTCCTGGGTGGGGCCACTTTCAGAGCACTAGCAAAATGTAAATACTAACAGTTTGGATCTTTAAATCTGCCCTCTGTGCTGCAGTGTTGTGTTTTTCTGATTTGGGGCTAAGCCTATATCAAAAAATATCTCATCCAGCTAAAGCTGTTTTACTGTTTAAAAGAAATTTATGCAGGATTTATTCCATAAACTCACCAGAAATTTCATTTTTAAAAGCAAAAAAAATATTTTTATCTGGTAAAAATATAGTCTTCAATATTAAATTTTGATTCAATATTAAATTTACAGGCCAGAAGACTACATTCTGAGAAGTGCTAGATGTTCTGTTTTCATTTTTTTCAGAGAGAGATCAATGATGCAAGTTGACATGGTGAGGAATAATCTGTCTGTTGAGAACTATGAATATTCAGAGTAAGCCTGATGATAAGGAGAGAATAAAGCATGTGGCTCAGTGCCTCTAATATGATTTGGCACTGAAGTCTCAAATTAAAATGCATGAAATGAGAGATAACTATTTTTTGGCAAATTCTCTGTGTTTTTTGTTACTGTATCTTCTATAAGTGTTTTAGCTATTAAATTTGTAATCTCAAGTGACTACTGATGCACTTAGTATATTAAAATAACCATGACTGACAAACATCTATGTTGTCCTTTTTAACTAAAGTAAGCAAGCATGCATATTAAACCACCTCAGTGTAGTCAATTGCCTTACTTTAGGATTCAGTTAAGGATAGCAATATTGAGCCCACATTTGCAGGTGGGAAGGCGATTGTGCATGAAATGGGGACATGGAACCTCGAAGTCCCAGGACTTGATTTTGTTCATCTAGCTCCCTCACTCAAAGATCTCTTCAGAATGTGGAAGAAGGTAATATACGGAATAATTTTAGAACTAAAATATATAAATAAACAGACTGCCGAGAGAGATTTTGGAATCTCCCTCACTGAAGATATTGAAGAACTATCTGGATGCAATCGTCTGCAACACACTCTAGGATGACCCTGCTTGAGCAGGGAGGTTGGACCAGATGACCCACTGTGGTCCCATCCAACCTTAGCCATTCTGTGATACTGTAATCTATTAAGAACAGAAATCCAAAATGGCATCCACACAACTACAGTTACTAATCTGACTTAACACTAAGAAAGTTCAGGGAAAAAACCTCAAATGAAAGAAAAACATAATTTAGAATATAATTTAGAAACTGATAGATATTGCCTTTTGGCCAAAGCAAGGTATATCCAATTCATTTTATAGGCTTCCTTGATCATCTGGACAAAAGAAATGTTGCAGATTTAACAGCAGTCATTCTTACCGCTGATCAAAGATCAAGCT